ATATTTCCTTTGTTTTTATCTCTTGTTGCTTTTCTGTTCCAGGATCCCATCCAAAATATCACCTTACATTTAGTTGCCATGTCCTCCTCAGGCTGCTCTTGGCTGTGACCACTTCTTACTTTCTCTGTTTTTGATGACTTTGACAGTTTCCAGTATTGGGCAGGGTTTTTGCAAGCTACCCCTCTATTGCACTTTGAGTTTTTTCCCATGAGGAGACAGGGGTTATGTGTTTTTGAGAGAGAGACAGAGACCACACAGTGAATGCCCTTCTCGTCACACCGTATCAAGGATCCAGTACTGTCCTTTGTCTGGTCCAGGAGCCAGTCCAGAATCCTACATCGCATTTAGGGTGTGTGTGTGTGTGTGTGTGTGTGTGTGTGTGTGTGTGTGTGTGTGTTTAAATATATTGTTTATTGATTTCAGAGAGGAAGGGAGAAATAGAAACATCAATGATGAGAAAGAATCATTGATTGGCTGCCTCCTGCATGCGCCCTGACCCGGGAATCGGGGATCGAACCGTGACCTCCTGGTTCATTGGTCGATGCTCAACCCCTGAGCCACGCCTGCCGGCCAGGCCTCAACCCACCGACTTAAATGTCAATCTTATCCCCAAACACCTGGGCAGACACACCCAGAAACACCTGAGCAAACCTCTGGGCACCCCGTGGCCCCGGTCGAGCTGACACCTGACAGGTCCCCTCCCCCCACGAACACCTTGCAGCTGAGCAAGTCAACCGGCCCAGACACAGTAGAAGTTCCCGCGTGGCGTTCCGTCCGCTGACCTGAGAAACCCCAGAGCCACGCGAGAGCAACAGAAAGGCCCGTTGTCGTGTCCAGCGGCTAAGTTTGGGGCGATTTCCAGCAACCGATACCCCGAATACTGCCCATCCGATGCCTGACCACCTGCCCAGCCAGGGCAGCCAAGTAGGTAACGCCTTCCTGGGGGCGGGGGGCTTCCCGCCCTGCGGCTGCGGACAGGTGTCATTCCCAACCTCACCAGCAGGTGGCAGCCCTGCTCCTGCTTCTCACTTGGCAAACTAGGAGATGAATTTATTTATTTTAAATATATTTTTATTTATTGCAGAGATGAACGGAGAGGGGAGAGAGAAACATCAATGAGAGAGAGAATCATTAACTGGCTGCCTCCTGCACGTCCCCTACTGGGGATCGAGCCTGCCACCCAGGCCTGTGCCCTTGACCGGAATCAAACCCGGGACCCTTCAGTCTGCAGGCAGACGCTCTATCCACTGAGCCACACCAGCCAGGGCGAGATGAATTTACTCATAAAATATGACCGAAACACCTGCCCCGTGGGAGGCACTTCCTGGGCTGCCGGGGAGAGCAGGCTGCTCTGTCTCGTCTTGTCTCTGGACCGAAAGTCCCCAGTCCTTCCTCTTATCGTGGAGTCTAACTTCCCGCCACCCACCGGCTGGAACGGAGGCGGCCCAGGTGTTGCCTGAGGCCAGCATTTCCCCCGCTGCTTCACTGCCCTGACCCTCCGCTGTCTGGCCCGGTGACCACAGAGGAGGTGGGAGCAGAACAGGCGGAGTGTCCAGAGGCCAGGGACGGAACTGCATCCCTGAGGGGGGACCCTCCCCTGAGCCTCCAGCCCCTGCCTGTGGCCGCAGCTGCCCAGGCCTCGGGGCTCAGGATATGGGAAGGTGCACAGTATGGAGCTCCTTCCCCCTTCACTCCCTGCAGCTGGCGTGCCTGCACACACTCCCAGGTGGGAGCCACCCTCCCCCCATACACATACAGACACATGCATGCATGCATGCACACGCACATGCACACAGGCACATGCACACACACACACACACACCACAGAGGCCTGTTCTCAGAGAAGACAAGTAGCAGGGAGGCCGCAGAGGGAGCGGAAGTAGCTAGTGGCTCAGGCCCAGGGGCGGGAAGAGGAAGTGGTCACTTAAGGCATCCAGGCTGTTTCCCCAGCCCTGAGGCTCCCTGAGGGAGTTCCCCAGCTCCCCTGGCCTGCCTTTGGCCTTCACAGTGCACCCGGTGCTCAGGGCCCCCTGTAGTCCTCCCTTCACCCCCATTCACTTGGAGATGGATTTCCCCATTTTCCTGCCTCCATGCATTTAAAATATATATATTTGTGTTGATTTCAGAGAGAGGAAGGGAAAAGGAGAGAGAGAGAGAGAGAGAAACAGCAATGATGAGAGGGAATCATGGATCGGCTGCCTCCTGCACACCCCACACTGGGGATGGAGCCAGCCACCCGGGCATATGCCCCGACCAGGGAATCGAACCCTGACCTCCCAGGTCACAGGCTGATGCTCAACCCCTGAGCCCCGTGGGCCAGGCTGCCTCCAAGCATTTTACCTTCCTGGACCCCGACTTCCCCGCCTCTGTGTTGGCCTGGCTGTTGGGATCACGTCCCCTGCAAACCCCCAGGAGTCCCAGGACCCGTCCTGGGGAACGTGAGTCCAGAGACTGAGGGTCCCGTCAGAGCCGCTGGGCCCCCCTCGACTTGCCTTGTCGCAGCCTCAGAACGCAGAGCCGACCCAGAACCACCCAGGAAGATCCAGAGACGGAAAGAGCCGGAGACGGCGCATCCCCACGCTGGTCTAGAGGCCGCCGGGCCTCCTGCCACCGCCCAGCGCAGCCCTGACCGCGCCGTCGGTGCCAAGCAGGGGCTGCTGGTGGCTGGGCAGGCCCGTCTGGTCCCGGCTATTTAGCTGGGTCAGCCAGGGGTGCTCTGGGCACCTCCCAAGGACTGACGGCGGCCTGTGATGTCAGCACCAGGCCCATCCCTGTGCGTCCGGTCGATGACCCGCACACCTTTCGTCACCTCCACCCCAAAGCCCTCCCTGACCCCTGAGTCTTCTCTACCAGCAAAAAGGCCGTGGAAATCCCAGCCCAGCGCTGCGCAGGGAGGCGTGGCGACCGCAAGGTGGAAGGTTCTGGAAAAACTGCAGATAAGGCAGGGCCGGCGAGACCTCCCTTATCTCCAGCTCTGTCTGGACAGCTCCCAGGACCGGGGTCCTGACACCGTCTTGAGGTGGACGTGCCCGGGAAGTGCACATCCTGGTTGGCCCGGGGCAGTCCTGTGGCTGAGGGTCAGCGTCCAGAATCATGGACACAGGCCGCCTCGTCCGTGGCCCTTCGAAGATGCTGCATTTTTCACAGATGACGAGTCCGCTGAAGGCTCAGAAGACGGTTAGCAGTGTTAAGCCATGAAGTCCTTTTAGTGTCATATATATATTTATCTCTCTCTCTCTCTCTCTCTCTCTATATATATATATATATATATATATACACCAGGTGTACCGGTTACTAATGCGGATTTTTTTCAATAGATGGAAAAAATGGTTACACATATGTTGATATAGCGGGTGTCCCAAAATTCACGCAAATTTACCGGTTAGTAATTCAGATACCGGCTAGTAATGCAGATTGGCCCTTTACCGGTTAGTAATGCGGGTACCGGTTAACAGTGCAGATACCGGTTAGTAATGCAGATACCGGTTAGTAATGCGGATTGGCCCTTTACCGGTTAGTAATGCGGATTGGCCCTTTACCGGTTAGTAATGCGGATTCTGGAATCACCGTGGGCGAGCCCGGCCGGCCTGGCTCAGGGTGGAGCACCTGAGAGGCCTTCCAGTCTGGAAGGCGCACCCCGCGGCCTCTCTGAGGACAAGGTGCCCCTTTTGCTCCTTTGTGGACTTTCCCTGGGACACTTCCCCCAGCAGGTGGGCATGACCTCCTGGCGTCCCAGGAGTCTGGGAGGCCACAGCCAGGCCAAGGAAGAAAGGGGGGGAGCTTGCCGCTTTGTAAAAGCGGGGGTGGGGGGGTCAGGACTCCACAGAGCATCCCTCCAGGATCCTGAGAACTGAGGGGGGGGTGGTGGTCTCAGGAGAGAGAGCAGGACCTTCGGGCTTGCTGCCCGCGGCGTCCGCCCGGTGGTGGCTCTGGAGTTTAATTCCTGGGCCTGTGTCTCGGCCGTGCTCAGCGCGGGCAGGACCAGGGACCCTCCTGGCTTCTCCTTCAGGCAGCACCGCCGGGCCTGGAACACGACCTCATCTTACAGGACAGCCTGGTCCAAGGCATGGATGGCGTTTCCCATGGCGGAGGGCAAGCAGCGCCAGATAAACGCTCATTTCCTGGATGATCGGAGCTCGGTTTCACTCCTGGAGGAGCGAGCGCTAACTCAGCAACGTGGGGTTTTATTTATTCTTTTAAAATATATTTTCATTGATTTCAGAGAGGAAAGGAGAGGGAGAGAGAGAGAAACACCCATGATGAGAGAGAATCATGGACCGGCTGCCTCCTGCACGTCCCCCCGCTGGGGATCAAGCCCGCAACCCAGGCCTGTGCCCTGACGCGGAATGGAACCTGGGACCCTTCGGTCTACAGGCTGGCGCCCTATCCACTGGGCCACACCGGCCAGGGCAGCGAAGTGGGGTTTTCAAGGAAGCACAGTGTTAACATAAAAAAAAAAAAAAACATTGAAACCTGTAAAGAAATTTTGTGAGTTTGAGCCAAACTGTCCACATATGCCGGGAAGCAGAACCTCAACGAATTGAGATGGTGCACCGGGGAATGGCGGGGTTACATCTGAATTTATACATTTGCAATCAAAGGAGGGACACAGGTGGGTTACATGAAATTCATCGGTGACAGATTAAGCAGGAGGGAGAACAATTAACATGATAAGGCCCTAACCGGTTTGGCTCAGTGGATAGAGCGTCGGCCTGCGGACTGAAGGGTCCCAGGTTCGATTCCGGTCAAGGGCATGTACCTGGGTTGCGGGCACATCCCCAGTAGGGAGTGTGCAGGAGGCAGCTGATCGATGTCTCTCTCTCATCGATGTTTCTAACTCTCTATCCCTCTCCCTTCCTCTCTGTAAAAAATCAATAAAATATATTAAAAACACACACACACCAAAAAAACATGATAATGAAGGAATTTGTGGTATCTGTCCTGGGACCCAGATACAGGGAAGTCACAAGTGACCCAGACATTTCAAGGACATCTTATCATAGATGCAAAAACACAGATAGGCTCAGTGAAGGTAAAAGTTGACCTTGTCCGTGAAGATATCGGCTTCGGACATGACTACCCACTATAACCTGTTTGTAGTCAGATATTTAATTTCCAGACCATCTTTGGTGGTGATTTTAGGTCTCTGAGTTTGCAAGACCGCCACGCAGGCCTCCCCTGAGCTTGTCAGGTTAGCATGTGGCTCCTTCCGTCCACCACAGGCTGGCCCGTAGGTGTGTGTGTGTGTGTGTCCGTCCCACCCACGTGTGCAGGCCCCCACCTCTCCTTGGACAGCAGGGAACACTGTGGGCACCTGAGGGGTGGAGAGCTGCCGGAGGAGGCGAGTTAACACTGACTGACGACTCACTCCTCATGAATAACTACATCATTTGTTGTGGATCTTTTCAGAAATTTCCAGGCCTATGTATTCTTCTACATCTTTTAAAAAACAAAATTGAGAAATATATGTGACACCTTATTCTGTACCGTGTGTGTGTGTGTGTGTGTGTGTGTGTGTGTGTGTGTGTTTGGGGGGCGGCACCCTGCCCTTCAGGACCTCGCTGTCCCCCACAACACCCTGGGCATCACCCCATTTCACAGAGGGGCTGTGCTGAGGACCAGGGCTCAGCTAGTGCGCGAAGGGGCAGGACCCCAGCTCAGACCTGTCTCGGTCTGGCGCCCAAATGTGTCCCTCACCCCTTGCCGCCGGGACACCCAACAGTGGGAGCTCCCCAATTCCCCCGTCCCCCCCATTCCCTGCGGGCGCGAGTTTATCAGAGTCTCAGATCACGTGTCCACCTTACCATCTGGCTGACGGGAGCCCCGTGGGAGGTTCTGGGCGCACAGTGGGTCCACAGGGCCGGCCGGAGCCGCGT